TTCCTCTGGTAAATGTTTGAGATATTGTGTGTTTTGTGTAAATGTGTGGTCGTTCAATCTCTTTATTTCTCTCTGTAATATATATAGAGAATACTGCAAGCATCTGCAGATGGCTGAGAATAACACACAGTTCCTGGCGGACTTCCTGTCTCTGATGGTGGAGATCTCACCTGAATCTGAAGACTGTGAGTAACGTTCACCTCTAGACCACACCAGCGTTGAATATTACATGTTGCAGCAATAATAATTCCGTTTTAAGCAATAGTTATTAAATATTATAGCAGCAATTTTGTGGCTCTGATGAAATATTACAGCATTTATTATGAAATCTTACAGCTCTAATTAAATATTAAAATATTGATTAATAATTATTTCAGCATGCATTACTAAAGTATTAGAGTTGAGAAATATTTCAGCTTTAGTTACTAAATGTACAGTTCTACTTAATATTACAATAGTGATTTATAAATATTTCAATCTAATTTCTAATTTTTTATTACAATATTGATAATAAACATTACAGCATTCATTACTAAATATTGCACTAGTTATATTACAGAATTGATTAATAATTATTCCAGTATTACTTATTCAATTTTACTGTTTTAATTATATTACAGTATTGATGAATAAATATTACAGCATTCATTGATAAATACTACAGCACTAGTTATATTTTATTACAAAATCTATTAATAAATATTTAAATGTTGATTATTAAATACTAATAATTGTATATTACAGTACTGATTATGTGATATTACAACTCTAACTAAATATTTCTGCACTTTTTAATCAATATTATAATCTAAATATTAAACCATTGATAATCCAGTCACAATTTTTTATTAAAAACAAATATAATATGCAGTATTGATTGTGAAATATTTTATCTCTTATAATTAGATATTACAGAGCTGATTTTATTTTTTTTATATTTTTTATATCACCCATAATTAAATAACAGTATTACATTGGCAAAAACTAATTACAGCAGTCATAATGAACGAATAAATCATCATGAGCTTAAAATTAAATTTGAATAATTTAATAATTTTACATTCTCATTATGTGAAATGTGAAGATACCTCACGGGGATGAATTTAGCGAAACGTTTGTCTCCAATCAAGAATCTTTCAGTGAACCATGAGAAGCGTCTGACTGAATGTTTTGTAATGTGCTCACAGGTGATCAGGGTCTCATTCATAACCTGATCTTGGATTCTGGGATCCTCTGGAATCTCGCCACACGCGTTTGGCAGAACAAGGATCTCAACACGTAAGATCAGACCCGTCACAGTCTGTTGATTTTTCTGTATTAACAGGATTCAGATGTTTATTGGACAGTCTGATCTCTGCAGGTACGGCTTCCTGGCGCTGTTCGCATCCACCAATGGAGGCGTCACGCGCGTTTACCCCAACACGTGAGTGACGGAGCTTCTGACTCGGCTAATGTTCACTCGATTACAATTAGCTTCATCGTCATATGTTTGTGTGTGTGTTTCAGAGCTGCTGAATCATGGGACGAGGATCCTGAACCTCTGAACTCAAACTTCTTCCGTCGCACTCTGGACAGCAAAGGCTACATCTTCAAAGCGCCAGCGCGAACCTGTGAGACCTCATCTGAACCAAGAAATCACAAACAATAATAGAATTAATAACTGATTAGCATTAAGTCAGCTGCAAAATGTATCAACAATTGTAACAGCATTGATTGCTAAATATTACAGCATTAATTATTAAGCTTGAATTAGTACAATATTAATTACAAAAAATTAGAGCATTGATTTTTAAATATTACAGCTCTAATTAAATATTATAATGTTGATTAAGAAATATTTCAGCATTCATTATAAATATTACAGCTGTTCTTCAATTATTATAATATTAATTACTAAATATTACATCTTTAATTACTAATTTTTTAATATTAAAATATTGATAAATACATATTTCTGTATTTATTACTAAATGTTACAGCATTCATTGCTAAATATTACAGCTTTTCTTTAATTATTACTTTATTACCTAATATTACAGCATTGATTACTAATTTTTACAGCTGTAATTTAATAAATTGGAGCATTGATTAATAAATATTACAGTATTGATTACTAAACATAAAATTTCTAACTGAATATTATAGCTGTATTTATGTATTTTAATATTGGTTAATAATTATAAAAATATGTATTACTAAATATTCCAGATTAATAAATTAATATTACACCATGGATGAATTAATATTTCAACATCATTACTAAATATTACAGCCAACAATTAAATATAATAGCTTTGATTACTAAATATTGCCTTGTAATGAATTATTACAGAGCTGATTTTTCTATTACAGGACCCATAATGAAATAACAGTATTATGTTGGCAATAACTAATCACAGCAGCCATAATGAAATAATGTTGTTGTTGCTGTTTTTTGGCAATCATTAAATTGCATATTATATACTGGGCACCCCATATTGGTCAACCACTGTTGTAAAATTAATAAGATTACATCAACATGAAGTAGTTGACAGGAACATATGTTAAGAAAGTAAATAAAAGAAAGTATAATTTTGATCTCATGTTGACTTTATACATTAATATGTGTGATATTCATCCCTGTATGAAAGCTTTTCACCGTTTTAATGTCTCTGATATTTGTGTTTAGCAATGGATGATCTGTTAATCTCAGAGAATGGCACTGTGGGGATTTTGGTCACCACCGCCGTGGAGGTCGTGATCTCAGGCAAAACCATGAAGCCTGCAGGTGTGTTTCTCTGAAACAGCATGTTTGTGTCCTTTCCTCTTTGATAAGCCTGAGGTTCAAATCTCTTTAGAAGCGATTCTGAGGTCTGTCCCTGGCTTTTTTCATCTTGTGTTCCTGTTATTAGTGGTCGGAGTTAAGCTGGATTTGGAGGCCTGGGTCGACAAGTTCAAGATACTCGCCAGCAATGTGTCAGACAGCAGACAGGCCGCTCATAAGGTACGATTGTTTGGAAAAGCTGTAATAATGGAAGAAAAACATCCTCTTCTAACATTATATTCATCTGTATGGGCATGAGTGTAGTGAGAGATCATAACTTCCTGTTTGTGTTGTGCAGTGCGGCCCCTCCAGATCCTGTGAGATGGACTGTGAAGTGAACAGCGATGTGAGAGAACCTGCACACACAAACTCTGCATGATAACAGATCATTGTGTTAGTTGATCTGGTCTTGAATGTAGATATTATTATGTTTCAGGATTTGTTGTGTTACCTGATCGATGACGGAGGTTTCCTGGTGATGTCCAATCAGAGAGACCACTGGAAGAAGGTGGATGTTCAGAAACACCAAAAATAATGTCACATGAAATCATTCAAATTAAATTTAAATTAGTCTTAAATACACAAAAAAATGGTGAGGTTAATCCTGAGTTTGTTGGTCTTTATGTCCACGTCTGTCTCAGGTGGGTCTGTTCTTCGGCGAGGTCGACCCCTACCTGATGTTCGCCCTCTACAACAGCTCAATCTACGCCCGTCATCAGACCTTCCAGTATCAGTCAGCCTGTGAGCCGACAGCCAGCAGCCACACGGGAGCTGCGCACAGAGGATTCTATGTGGTGAGAAACCGATTAGTTCATGGAGAACCATCACATTGATGTTAAATTATTTATGGTGCTACAGTTAAATTCTCCTTCTAGGAAAACCCATAAAGTAAGTTTTATTCTCTTTAGCCCTCCATTGCTGATTTTCTCAGTCTGGCCTGGTGGACGTCAGCAGCGGCGTGGTAAATACCTCTACACTATTTTTAAAAATGTCCCCTGTTGGTTGTTACGACAACATTTAGTAGACATTTGTAACATCAAACATATCTGGTTTCATACCCTAATAATGTTTATTCAGATACTCATGTGTTATTTTTTCTGGTTTCTTTCAGGTCTGTCCTGCAGCAGTTCCTGTATGGACTCATCTACAGCAGCTGGTTCACCACAGGTTTGACACATCTTCCTTGAAAAAAAAAACATCTTAAACCAGTCAGGCTGTTTTTCTGGTTTTATATGCCACTCTTCAGCTGTTCAGGCTGGGAGACCAGCTTAAACCAGCTAAGACTAGCTTAGGCTGGTTTAAGATGTTGTTGTTGTTTTTTTTAGCAGGATCTTCCAAGACAGCATTCTAACCATAATTCAACAGTGCACAATCACACGAAATAACATAACAATAAACGGTTAGTTCACCCAAAAATGAAAATTCTGTCATTAATTATTCACCCTCATGTTGTTTCAAACCCGTAAGACCTTAAATTAAGATATTTTTGATTTGTTTTTTTAGCAGGATCCTCTTCCAAGACAGCATTCTAACCATAATTCAACAGTGCACAATCACACGAATAACATAACAATAAACGGTTAGTTCACCCAAAAATGAAAATTCTGTCATTAATTATTCACCCTCATGTTGTTTCAAACCTGTAAGACCTTAGTTCATCTTCTGAACACAAATGAAGATATTTTTGATGAAATCCGAGAGCTTTCTGACCCTGCATAGACAACAACACAACTACCGCGGTTAAGGCACAGAAACGTAGGTTAAAATAGTCTTTGTGACATCAGTGGTTCAACTGTAATTGTATGACACTACAAGAGCACTTTTTTTGCGCAAAGAAAACAAAAATAATGACTATATTTAACCATTTCTTCCTGACCCTGCATAGACAACAACACAACTACCGCAGTTAAGGCACAGAAACGTAGTAAGGAGTAAGTATTAAGGAGTAAGGAGGTCCTTGTGACATCAGTGGTTCAACTGTAAATTTATGACGCTACAAGAGCAATTTTTTATGTGCAAAGAAAACAAAAATAATGACTATATTTAACCATTTCTTCTCTTCTACGTCATAAAGTCGTTATTTTTGTTTTCTTTGCATACAAAAAGTATTCTCGTAGCTTCATAAAATTACGGTTGAACCACTGATGTGACTATTTTAATGATGTCCTTACTACCTTTCTGGGCCTTAAAAGTGGTAGTTGCGTTTTCACCCAAAATTCTATCCGTTTAACATGTTGCTAAACTAATGAGCCAATACTTCAAACTCAATAAATATACAGCGCATACATTTTAATTAGACATTTTCTGTCGATACTTCCTAAAATACATTTATAAATAGTGAGTAATTAATGACAGTTCACCCAAAATTCTATCCCTTTAACATGTTGCTAAACTAATGAGCCAATACTCCAAACTCAATAAATATACAGCGCATACATTTTAATTAGACATTTTCTGTCGATACTTCCTAAAATACATTTATAAATGAGCTTTGAGCATTCTGGGATTGCATTATGTTCAATTGTGTCTTCTAGAAGATGTCTGGGCTGAGAGTTCGGGCACTAAAGGGAGCAGCAGCTGTGTGACGATTCACAGTCAGTTCTACTTCACTAACACCACCAACTCCTTTAACATGCTGCAGGATTGTGGGAACTGCTCCAGGTGTGTGTGTGTGTGTGTGTATGTAAAAAGTCATAAGTGCATTTTAATACACACTTTTCCCAACACAAACTCTCTTTCTGTCAGATTGTTCCACGCCAAGCGTATAGAAAACACAAACCTACTGTTTGTGGTGGCAGAGACGCTGCCCTGCAGCTCCTGCGAGATCGAGAAACTCCTACCTGTCAGAACAAAGTGTATCCTTCCTTCCCATAATCCTCTGCTCACAGAGCGACACTAACAGATACTAATCAGCTGTCATCTGTGTTTGAATGATGGACAGATGACAGACTGAGCTTGTGGCGTTTCCTTAATTTTCTTCTTCAGCTCAAGAAGAGAATCCGTGTGAGGTGTTAAACTCCGCCCGCTATCGGAAAGGACCTGACAAATGCTTCGACTACAACTCAGAGGTGAAGCGCTGTCTGTTTCTCTGATCAAACGCAGTTGTTGTTTTTTTTAAGATTTATTTTTGGCATTTTGCCTTTATTAAGATAGTGTAGAGTAGACAGGAAGCGAAGTGGGAGAGAGATTGGGGGGTGGGATCAGGAAAGGTCCTCAAGCCGGGATTCGAACTCGGGACGCCTGCAACGCAATGGCGTTATATTGTTGGTGAACTGCCCACTAGGCTATCAGCTCCGACCAAACAGTTTATTATGTTTTATAATTTTTATTTTATAGACAACATCCATACAACCATCCAGAACACTTGAGCAATCACATTGCAACATTCTGGCAATCTCCCAGAACACCCTAGCAGCCACATGGTCAAATAGCTGAAACCCTCAAGCAGTCACATAGTAATGTCGTGCTGAAACACATAGCGTCCAGGCGATTACTTAGAAAACTCAGGTAATCGCATAGTAATGTCCTGGCAACTACCCAGAACACCCTAGCAGCCACATGGTCAAATAGCTGAAACCCTCAAGCAGTCACATAGTAATGTCGTGCTGAAACACATAGCGTCCAGGCGATTACTTAGAAAACTCAGGTAATCGCATAGTAATGTCCTGGCAACTACCCAGAACACCCTAGCAGCCACATGGTCAAATAGCTGAAACCCTCAAGCAGTCACATAGTAATGTCGTGCTGAAACACATAGCGTCCAGGCGATTACTTAGAAAACTCAGGTAATCGCATAGTAATGA